CCACTGCCTCTGCCGTCGCAAGTATTCACTGGCACGGTGTCCTGCCCGCACTTTAGAGGTGGCTCGGAATGACTGGTTGACGCTTATCCCACGGCCGCTGTCAACCGAGTTAGTCACAAGTGCGCTATAGATCGAGTTTACGATGCCTCAATTTAGTCAGGCATGATGGTGCATCCCTTTAGATAGACGACCAATATAGCCTGCCCCCACAGGAGCAAATGAAGGGGTAAATTCACATTGACGAGGTCTAAAGGAGAGTCTATCCCGGCCTGCAAGGCAAAGAAGTGGAGTGTCTAAGAAAATTAGTCTTATCGTAACGGCTTGGTACGTGCGCGCCATAACACCGGTTAAGCGACGATGTAAAAGTTTCTTCGTCAGATCTCCTCGAAATGACAGTGTGAGAAAGAGCTCCCTTTCAGACGTCGACACATCCGATTTTTGGGACATTTCTCCAAATATTTACTGAAAAACTTCTTAGAAAAGTCTTCTTCTCGCAGTGTTTTTTTATAAAGGCGAGTTTGTTCCCAGTGTATTTGGAGTACATATCCACCCAGGTCTCGTTTCTGACCTAGCGGGACAAAACTGTAGAAATTTCCGCGTTGCCCTGTCCATATTTCTAGCAAAATACACTTCTACGAAGTGTGTAATCAGGCGTTCTATTAGGCAGGATGTCCTAATGCGCAGTGCAAGAGCAATTCCTTTAGATCTGCGACCGGCATGCCGATTTGGAAATCCTGCCTCACAAGCTCATCATATAAAACTCTGTCGTTTCCTTGAGGGGAATATTAGTGAAAAACATTAGCGATATCTTGTTTGCCCTCACACGTCCGTCTGTTTTCTCATTTGTCGGATAAGTGCACGAGCTAGCCAAAGTGATAACTGCTCCTTGGTCGGGTCAGGGTTATGTTGCGGCTACGTAAATGTACGCCATTGACTCGCCCGGTTTCAGGTTCACGTTTGCTGTTTTGTTCATTGAGCTGCATTCGAAGGGGTTGGTGAGCCGTGGGAAGTGCCAAACAACGGGTGACGGAGGTTGTCTCCGTGTGTTAGGCCTCAATTGTTTCTCCGGTAAAGCGGTTATTTTTCCGATCCAGAATTTTGGCATTCTGGTAGCCGAACGTGTATACAGAGTCTGCAATCGTTGCTGAATGCAGCCAATGTCCCAATATCCAGTGATCTGGCTACGCCTCCAAGAAGCGCTTGTCCAGTAAAGTGTTGTGGGAATGTAGACCTTAATCGACGATGTCGTTAGAGGTTTTGCACAGCAAAAATGCAATTACACAAAAAGTCAACTTAAACTTCGGAGTATAAAGAACCTTGTTCGGTGGCTACATCCTGTCCAACAAGTGATACATAATTTCGGCAGTTTAGGATCCTGGGAAAGTGTACTTGAAAACAGACAACCTTGGGCCATTTTGAAAATTCCGGCGATATTGAAAAGTAAAGATGGCGAAATCTTCGTTCAAAAAAGTCAACGTAACCCAATTGGCATGAGAAAAAGAAAATGAGTTAAATGGGTAGTTGGCGGTTACGAAACCTCAGACATCCCTCATAACGGTGTGTTGAACTCAAGTAATTTCATGTAATCCCCAAACAGCACTGTTTCGATAAGTTTGTGGCTCACATCAACTACTGCTTGGTGGGACCGGAAGCGAAGCCAGTAATTTGGGAAAATAACCCTCGAGATCGAAATACTATATATAACATTTATCGTTTCTGGAACGCGGTGTTTTTTGGCTGCCACCTGCCACAAAATAATAATCAATGTCATTGAAACCTTAACGACGGCAACCCGCAGGTTATCCAGCACGTTTATAGTCCATAGACGAAATACTTTTAACAAAGGTTAGGTAATAAATAGGCGGGCTCTTGAAGTGAAAGAATAATCGGTCCGGATCAGACAATCAACCGCGTCTTTCACATATTCCACTGCATGTGTGAGCGTCACTTTACTTTTCTACTTTTCCAACCGGACTGACAGGAGACGACTTGCCTGATCGGGCAGTCAAGCTTGATGAGAAACAAATGAGCGAACTGACAAAATACTTCCAGCCCACAAGAGACGGAGGGCCAAGTATGACTCAAACAGAAACGATTAACAACTTGTTAAAGCACGTCGAGGAAACCAAATACAGTAGAGACGGGTACTGTATAAGAAGAACTATGTACAATTTAATTGAAAAGAGGAGGATATGTGAAGGTGAGAGCACTTCAACTCTTCTCCCGGGATAGCACCATAAAGATCAGTTATACATAAGAGAAGTGAATCGATGGAAAACGTCAATGACTTCTATGTACCTGCTCCATAAAGTAGATTAGATTCGTAGGGTTGAAAGAAGAATGCGCCTTTAAACCTAGCTTCTGGCTATCCAGCGCACCTACGGATGGCGGACAAGAGAACGGCGCCCAGCTGTGGGATGATCAAGTCCAGGAGGATGGGAAATAAGCATTCACCGACCAAGAATGCTATCAGGTCACGCCTTCAAAATACCACAAAATCCTATGACGGCACTGTGACCAGTGAATGTGAACCGTCAGCGGATACGTTTAATTATCCCCATCTTCCCGTCATTAGATTTTCGAGCCAAAATGCTCGAGTAAACAGTCTCGAACAAGCATTCCAAGTGGCAATTAACACTTTGACTGCGACTCCCAAAATAGCCTGTATGCCCGTGGTGCAACGTGTACAACATATGGCGCACGTCGCAGTCAAAGTGTTAAAGACCCGCCTGTGCTCAAAACTTAAAAAGAAACCACACCAGAGATATGTGTTTCAAGTATTACGAACCATGATACGGCGTCAGCGGAAACCGTCGCACTCCAAAGACCTGTCTCAGTGATGTGGGCGAATAGTATCAGAGCGGGATTACATAGGCAAAAAACATATTCGTGGCATTTAATGTTGAATGTGCGAGCGTTCATCGACCATAGTACCCAAAGTCCAACGGCAATCAGTTTACATACGTAAAACGCGATGGCTACTGCCTGTATACGTTATAGGGCACTCACCCATCGTGTTACCGGATGCACTCGTCCGGTTGTGCTTTGGAGCTCGATCA